TAAATAATTTTAAATGAAATAATTTTACAGGAAAATATATTCGGTCATCATTTTTTTTCAAGTTGTATAAAATTCGTATTGTCCAAAATAACAGCATGTTACATTTAACTTTTACATATTTTATTTATATTCCATTTTTTCCCCCAGCATTGTCCTGTAGTCATAACATTTTTGGTAGAGATGAACTCCTCCTCTCCAGGAGTCCCCGGTGAAGGGGAGGGGGTACCAAAACAGTGGGGGTAGAACACGCGTAGGCATATGTAAACTATGGCCTTGGAGACGATCGCTTCAGTCTACAGGCAGCAGCTGGGCGACCAAGACCAATCGATTAAATATTATGTACGTTACCGCTTTTAATTAGCTTAGGTTAATGAGGTTTCCGCGCATAATGGAACGGGTCGTGTCGTTGGAAAACATATTGAATGCGGTGGTCTAACACACCGACAACGGCTTTAAAAGTATGGCAGAGTTTTCATTTTCACGCGGGGGGGGGGGAATTGTTGTTGCAAAAAGAACTGGACGGACAAGTGTATGCGGTTACAGAATATGTATTGAAGGGCACGCCACACCCTCAGACTGGGCAATGTTTCTATTTGGGTCGCTTTTACTATTTCTAAAACGCGTCATAAATAAAACGTCCTCCGGAATGAAATATATTCGGTTGCGGCTTGTCCGTGTCCGTCGAGAGGGAGCAAAAAAAAAAAAATATATATATATGTATTTATATTATACCATTCATCCTTAAAGCAGTGGTCACTCTCGACGGACCATCGGGAATTGATGGATAGAGGTCCGTGATACTTTTGAAGCCCAGCCTTTGTCATGTATACACCGGTTGTTACTTGTTCTCGGTGAAAATGTTAATTTATTTTTCAAAGATGAATGACAAGAGCACGGAACAACCAGAAGAGACAGCTGCAGCAAATCAGCGCAGCCAATTGGAACAGTTATGAAAAAATAACATGTGCATAAAAAATGTAAGTTTGATGTTTGAATTTAATCGATTTAATTGCAAAAAACTGTTTTTTTTTTTTTAATGAAAATCGGGTTCCGACATAATCCAGTAAAGAGGCCCAAAAAATTATTATCTTTTAATAGAATTTCATTTGGACTAGCAAAAGTCTGTTTGCTTAGGAAGTGATATGTTTTACCTGAAGCACTAAAAACTATTTCCGACCAAAACTTAACTTACTAATATAACTATTCAAAATTGGTGTTCGGTCAGCTGAGTTATCATTTAAAAAGTTAATATAATAATTAGGTTCACAGGCTTTGAGCACATGAAAGGTTATATCGTTGGAAAATAAATCAAATTTTGGGTAACTTATAACCGTATTTAACTAAAATGTATTAATGAAATACTTTTTAGTGTTTTTTTTTTATTAAAAAAAAAAATGTACATAACTAGTTTACTATGATCTCTACTCGTTTAAATTGATAATATTTAATTTGAGTTTAAAAGGTTGTTAATATAATATTAATTATATTATTCATCACCTCATACGACTAGACCCAATCGGTCGGCCTAATTTTATATTATTAGGTATTGTTAAAAAAAAAAATGTTTGTTTTAAAATTAAACTTAAAAAAATATAATACAAAACGTATTGTTGTTTGGTTTCGTCGCCGATTTATATTGTGATTTGACATCTGATTATTTGATTAGTTGTTATAATATTATTACTAATTTGTTTTTTTTTTAATAATATTTCTCAGAATTATTTGTATTATAGTTTTTTCTTTTAACAACAAACGTTTTCCAAGAGTTACTTTTGTATATAAAAAAAAAAAATCAACACTAAGCCCCAAGTCGGAGCAACAACAATAATAATAACTTATTTTATAAAGTTGTATTTTTGTAACAAAGGCGAAATCTCTCAAAAAGTTTGATCGGTATAAAATTTCTTTAAAAAAATAACAACATTTTTGCCTTTTTTTTATTTTGTTGGTATCTACTTTTTAGGTATAGGTATAAATTAAATGAAACTTATACATATATTAACTTATTATACATACATATATAAATTTACCCTTTGTTGGTCGGAGAGACTGAATATTTTAAACATTTTTGTAATTTGCAGTTTTTTTTTTTTTTAAAGGTGTAAAGTTCCTCATGTGGACTTACGTTTTTTAGTCCATAAACAAAAAAAAAACCGTTTGCTAGATGAAAAAAAAATATGTAACACTGCTTGAGTTTACCTAAATGTAGGCTGTTTAATTATTATTTAACCCAAAACGGACAGAGTTAACCGACTGTGTAAATATTATGAAAACGATTATTATAATCGTTCCGTTGGTGAATTTTTTAACTAAAAAAAGGTCAATACAGCGAGTGAGGGGCGCATAGTGGGGACAGCAGTCGGTACATATTAATGTTGAGGGGCCATACTTACTAGTTACCCATATGTTATAAGAAATCTTTATAAATATTAACTTTATAAAGTCATTTTTTTTTAATACTTATCGACTGTCGATTCGCTCACATAAAGAAACCTGGAAATTGTCAAAGTGTAATTTTTTGAGGTTTCATATTTTAATGTATGAAAAAACTTAATTATTTTCTTCTCCGCTCCACGGAAAACATTGAATAATGGATATGTTATCACTGTCTTATCACTTATATTTTGTCGTTTATCTCTAATCACTTATAACTTATCTCTTATCACTTATGTTTTGTCGCTTATATCTAATCACTTATAACTTATATATCGTATCACTTATGTTTTGTCTCATACCACTTATTCATTGTCTGTTATCTCTAATCTTTAACCGTAAGGGAAGTGTAAAGCGAAAATGGCGACATCATCAATTTATCGTATTCAGCCCTACTATAATATATTGTAAAAGGAACGTTCCGGATCTATTTAGTTTTCAGACCTCTGAAGTCTTAAGACTTCACTTACAAAAGCCTAGGTAATAAAGAAAATGTTTCCACCCCTTTTCCCAAGGGAAACGGTTTATGCTATTGGTTTGGTTTGGTAATGGGTAGTACAATTTCTAAAGAATTTTCCATACAAATTTGGAACTAAAAAGAAAAAATAACAGACAGCGAATGACACGAGTAGGGAATCCCACAGTTATATATTTTTTTATTTGCTCATTGCTTAGGTAAGACAACCTCAACGATATTTAATCAGTTCTACTTTGGGTAGGTGTTTACTTCAAAAACGGTTACAAACTTGTGTGTGTGGTATACACAATCGCTTAATACTTGTCAACGTTGTTAAATATTGTGTTACCAGTGTGTAATTGTTTATTTAAACCGTCGCTGGCTGTAATAGTTTCAATTATTTTAACAAATAAATTGTATACAATAATTATTATATTATTATTAAACTATCATCTCTGGTGATGATATTTTATATGTTTATCTACAACTGAGAATCGCGTTACATTCGTGCTAGCAGAGCATTAATATTAATATTGAAATAATGATATTAATCAAATATTTTGATTGCAATGTAATTAAACACCACTTGGGCACTTAAGTTGTATTGTATTTAGGTTGTCCAGGTCGACTGTTAAGAGTATCCACACTACTTGCAGATACATTGAAATACACGGATATGTCATGTAATCTAGTATCTCTAATAACTTATCTCTATTAATTCACCTCTATAATCCTCAAAATACTGAGTACTTGTTAACCATACAGTGCATGTATCCTAGAAATTTGAACGTTTCCAAAAAAGTAAATATGTCTGCTTAATTTCTGGCTGAAAGACAAGAAGTTGTTTTTTTTTTAAATAAAAATTACAAATTCCGCTAAAGAAAAATAATACCGACTTAAATCTTAAATTTAATATTATTTTCAACATTTTCGCTGAATGCTAAGCTGCACACATATTTTCTCCATTACAGAATTATCCAAATAATATTTACAACTTAATAACTTACAAAACAAAAATCAAAAAATTTCTTAATTTCTTTTGTCGAAAGAATAAGACAAGAAATTCAACAAAAACTCTGAGTTTATTCTTTTTAATATGCATTTTTTAAAAATTATTCAAACTTACAAAAACGACCAAACCGTGTTTATTTTACATCTTTAATTTTATTTAAAAAAATAATAAAAAACCGCGTTGGAAAAAATTTGAAACCAGAATCGGATTGAACGGACTAAAATTTTAATAAAAATTAATGTATTTAAGTACAAATTTGATTTTAAATGCTAAATAAATACTCTCACACATCCCAAAGGGTGGGTAAGGTTAGGTTAGGTTTGGTAAGGTTAGGTTTCGTTAGGTTTGTAGATTTTTTTTTTTATGGGAGGAGAAAGTAATCTTTTAAAATAGGTATATTTAATACATTTGTGCAACGCGATTTGATGAAGTGATGAAACCCAAAAAGAGGTACATTTCAAATTTTTGTTAACCAAGTTTTCCATCTCATACGATTAGACCTTTTTTCCACGCGCTTTTGTTATTTTAAATTTTATCATTTAATTAATTTTTAAACTAAAAATTGAAAGACAAGCATCGCTCACAGCTAAGAATACATTGAAAACGTTTTTTTTTTTAAAGATTTTTCCCTCTAGTAAAAGTTACTTTTTTTTTTTTTGTTTTTACCGAAAATAATAAATGTGCGAAACAAAACTATATTTAAACGAACCCGTTTGGGTTTTTTTTTAAACTGAATCGATAATTAAAATCGACGTTATTTCAAGAGATTTTATTAAACGCATTGTTTGGCTACGCCGAAACAATAATAATTGAATTTGCCCGTCGTCAATTATTAAGACATTTTGCCGTTTTTTACTGGCCGAGTAGTCTCGGTTAATGAGTTTTCTTTAAGAAAATATTTTTATTAATCAAACTCGAACCGACCGGACTTGCCGTCGTCGCGTTTATTATAATTTATAATATATATATATATTTTTTTTTCGCGGCATAATCAATTTTTATAGCTCTCTAGGCGTTTGTAAGTATATTAAAAAAAAAAAATATATATATATAATTTATATTTATAATTTGACGGCCAAATATTAAAAATGACATCATCTCGAACCGACCAAAATTATGCGCGATCAATATAAAAAGTACCCAAAAAAAAAAAGAAGCCATTTCCAAATACCGTAACGGTCGGTTTTATTATTTTTTTTTTTATTAACATTTTGCCGACTAAACGAGTCGCGTTTTTTCGATAAACAGTACTTGAACCACATTAATTTTTTGGGAACCAACTTAGAGGAGAAAAAAATCTGGAAATGTCAGTGAATATAAAATATCATACCAAAAATTATACCAATTTAAATTAAAAAAAAAAACATTAACCCTAGTAGTAGGTAGGTTAACCCTACTATCAATCGAACTGAAAAGTAATTTATCTTACAAAAAAATTATACACAGATAATGGAATTTAACGAACCCATTAATTGGTCAGATATTAAAAAACTTGGTAAACTCAATTAAGAGTATATGCACACTTGATGCAGATATGTCCTGATATATTATGCACGAAGTGTGGATACTCTTAACTGCCGAGTTTACCATGATCACATAGTATTGTGTTAATCTTATGTTGTGGCCAAATGTTTTTTAATATTCGGTTATTTGGTAACATTCACCTGGCCCAGTTATTTTGGATAAATATTTTAACCGTTCATTTGATTGTGAAAAATCATAATTTTTTTTTAAAAAAAATGTTCTTATTATATTTTTAGTTAATATGCAATTCGATAATCTATTATGGTGTGAACCGAGTCGATAAATATACTTCCCCTTCCCCCAAAAAAAAAATTTTGCTTCTCAACTTTAGGCAAGCGCTAACGGTTGTAACAAGGTATGTTGGTATGTAACAAGGTACATCATATTTGCTTTAAAAATGTATTGCTATATAATTGCGCCTCACATGAACATATAATAATATTTATTGAAATCCGTTGTTGAAAAACAAAAAAAAAAAAAACGATAAATTTATAATCATGTCTTGAGAAAGGAAAACAAAAAAACAAAACAAAAAAGATTCAAACTACTGTTTTGTGTATGTTTACAAATTTTACCATAAATGTTAAGTTTCGGTAAAAAGTTGCCTATACAATGCCCCTCAATGAATCACAAGATGTCTGACCTTTTTCATGTTTTCACTTGCGATTACTATGAGAACCCCCCCCCCCCCAAAAAAAATCAAATGTCGGCAAGCCTCGGGGCTCCTCGGTGGCAACCACAGGGCATCAGGGCATCTGGCCCTGATTTCCCGGTCGTCTTGTAATTATTCATTCGAGAAATATGTGATAAAGCAATCCTCCGACGGCACTCCTGTGATGTGCAGCGGTGCAGCAGCGTTCATCGTAAGCCACATTGTTTCCTGTAAGAAATATTTAAAACACAAATTGTTAATAAAATAAAAAAAAATTGTTGTACCGTTATTCGTTCATGCGTAAAATAAAAAATGATTTTTATAACTTTATACTTGAAAACAAATGACAATAATAGATTGGTCGAAAACTTGGAAGTAGTAGATTATTTTAAAGGGATTCGAAAGAGCTATTAATTATTAAAGGGCGAGGAATAGGCACAATATTTACCGAAAAATCGATCTGGTCGTCATTGTTTAAAATCATATTTTAAAAAAAAAAAAAAGAAAATTACTCGATGCGCTAAAAAATTAAACGCATTTAAAAATAGTTCATTGTTTTTGTTATATTAAAATAAAAAAAATTGGCCGATAAAAATTGCGAATAAATTAAATAAATCAATTTTCAAATCACAACATGATCGGTGTACATCTTAGTACATCATTAGTAGATTATATTTAATTTGCATACACATAAATAATAGAAATCACATCGAACTTGTGAAAACAATCGTGGTGACGTCCTACATTTCTCGAACGCTTCTGACGTCGAGTAAATCAAACACGTTGTCGTACACTTGAATCGCGGCTTTGATTAAATACAACCGAGCGTACATGACGGGCAGCAGACACGGCAGAGGATCCTTAAAAAATACACATCAATATCAATACTACAATATTTTGGTGGTTATTACACGGTGGTGTTTCGGTTTGCCGATCGTCAATGCCGTGTACTGGGTTTATAAAACAAAACAATATTTTCACGCTTACGCATAAGACACGTTGTCTGTGATAAAACAGGCTGACGGCCGACGACATTTCCGACAGAAACTTGCACAGCCTGTGGACGTCTACACTAGCCGACATCAAGTATTTGGCAGAGTCACGGACGACTTGCGGATACGTCCCAAGGAAATTGTGAATCAAAAACCATTCTTCCTGAAAAAGTCGAGTACAATCGTTTTTTTGGTTAACTCGACTTGACATTTTGTACTTAAAAAAAACAAATTTCATTTGATAAACCAAATGCCACACCGGCCGTTACACACACACACATTTGAACGCAAAACGCCGAAATCGATCGTCGACGGAGCCGCGAGCGAATCGTAATACTCATCCGCGACACCTTTTTCGTAAGCCGTCCATATCTGACACAATCTCGAATAGTTGTACATGACGAAAATGCCGTCTGAAAACGTACACACACGACAAATAAGGAATTTTCGCAAAAATACGTTTAAGCCGTCAAGCCGGTTGCACTCAACTGTCTTTGTTGGCGATATCGCAATCGGCGTTGACCGTTTTATTGTGCCTGACGTTGAGCAGCTCGTAGACAATCGATACGTCACACAGTTTGGATATTACGTCTTTCGGATAATCGTCGATACGACTGGCCGACATTTTGGCAACGTTGTTCGTTCTTTGTCTGCAAAACGCAATATGTGTCAACAAATTAAAGTAAAAAAACAATTGTTATTATTGCAATTAGGTATTTACTGTTTGTAATCGGATTGTGTGTTTTCATAGACGACGTTTCCACATAATATCACATTCTTGTCGCGTTTGAGACGATTTTTTTTAGACACTACCAAGTCGAGTCCGTTGCTTCCTACGACACATCCGTTTGCCTCGGCCAACTTTTGTACAGCATTTTGTAGCAGACAAACGCGTAAACTCGTTACCGAATCATCGTTACTTTCCTTGGCCAATGTTATTAGCTAAATGAAAGAAAAAATTTGCTAATATATCGTAATGCATTTTTCTAAAAAAAAAAAAATAATGTGAATTACAGTTCCGTTGTAGTCGTTGTTGGTGCCGTACTTGGAACCATATTGTAATATTTCGTTAACAACACAAGTCGTCCACAATTCTTTTCGCAACCATATTAGTACGTAACACTGCACCATTGAACAACGTTCGACGATGTTGAACATTTCCATTATTTTTTCAGGTAGGGTCTGCAAGTCCTAAAAATTAAAAATAAAGTTAATTTTGATTATCAACACCGTGTCGATAAACTGACCTAACCTAATCGAACAATTCAAGTATTCAAGTTTGTTTGAATGTAAATAGTTTACATGGTAATTTTCAAACAACGACACGGTTTACAGAACGGACAAGATTTTTTTGTCAAATATTTTTTGTTCGATAGAATTTATGAGAATAATCAAATATTGCATTTCTATGTTTCGACCATTGTGTACTATTCGTATCATTTAGTTTACTCACTTGCGTTGTAGCCGTTTTTATATAGAAACGAATATGACCGTTCACATTCTGTTTGGTCGACGGCAATTTAATGTCGACTTCCTGATTTGTACAATTACGCACAAACGACATTAGATCGCTTTTGAACCGATTTAAGACGTACATTGCGACAATTATTTAAAAGCAACTCTTTTTTTTCGATAATAAATTACACGATTTATAAGAAATACTTTCAATCTAAAAAGTCGCAACACGACAACGAGGCCGATAAATGATAAGAACTGTTATCACAATTTGATAAAGTGATAACATTTGTTGCGTTTAGTCAAGGACGTTGTAAGCGATTTTCCAAGGTGAACATAACCGTTTTGGCGCGCAAGGAGAAAATTATAATTATACTATAAAGCCAGTTTAAGACCCAAATTGATGCATTCCAATGGAATTAGTCATATAAACCATAAATTGTTATAATAATACACTTAAACTATGGTGTATCGTTTTACACGGTTAAGCGGATTGAAAGCGGTTAAGGATATTTTAACAGGAGTCTTATATAGGCAATAAAAAATGGTTATTTCAAAAGCACGTTGTTACAAAACATTATGGAAACAGTTGTACAATAATAATTCAAACAAGTGTAGAAAAACAATAATTCTATAACGCTCATGATCAATTTTTTCATCGAATAATTACACAGGATGTTAATATTTTATTAATTAAGCTATTCCATTGTAGCCATGATTTTGGCCGTGATGGCAAATAAAAAATAGGGCATTACTTCTTAAGTGAACGTTTGGTACATTAAGGACTATCGTTTCAAATAACTCGGGGCGATCAATATAACTTGTAAGTATATCAAAAATGAACACAATGACAACAAATTATTAACTATTTTCCTCGCTCCACGGAAAAAACATTGACTCGTAGATATGTTATCTCTTATAACTTATCTCTTATCAATTCTCTATTATCTCTTATCGCATGAAAGTTATAGTGTAACGCGAAAATGGCGACGTATAATTTCTTATAATCAGCCCAATAAAATTAGGACGACCGTTTTGGAAAAGCTATCCACTTCACGAATATGTTTTTGAACACTTTCTACTATTGATATCAACCCTAATCGTGGTATGGGTTCCTTAAGAGGTTGTCATATTCCAAAAGAGACCAAATAAGAGCACAGTATAGTGTCCTAAGGCAGTTTAAATCATGAAAATCATGTCAACATAATGTCATTTTGACAAAACCTAGCTGGGCACGCGTTACGTTTGTCTCTAGTAGATAGGCTTTAATTAAATTTGCCATTTAATAGGTGTCGGACAGTATTGTTCTTTATTTTTTTTTTTTCTTAAGAACCGAGACCGTGATAAAAAAATAGAGTTGTTACATAATCATACATATCGTGCATTGATTGTGTAAAATCGTACGATAATTGTTGTTATTTAAAAAATATATATAATTTAATAATTATACACATCATTATGATTGTCAGAACATTCCTCGTGATGTAAAAGATGACTCTCATTGCATTGTACACATTGCATTCGGTTCGTCGTATGGGTAATTCGATATTTTTTTTTTTGACATAAATTAGTTGAAAGTGTGACGATGACAATACAACTATCAAAATATTCATAGTTTTTATTTCTCCTCAAATACAATTTACACGGTTTTTACCGCTATGGTGACCACTACGAGACAAGTAATTATTATATACTGTTATAATTGTTAATTTATTTTATAAATCTGCGATGCTTGGTAAAAGGTCTCAAGTCCAAAATTAATATAGGTACAGCAAACTTATTTCACTTACCCCCGAAAAAAAATAATATTTTTTTTTATCTAGAGTATATGTATACTTAGCAAAAGGTATTGAGTATAAAAAAATATATCACATTAATGGATATAAATACTAAATATTATACTTATAAAAAAAAATCCTTTTAGGGGGTTAAACGAAATAAGTTTACACCTATTAAATGTTGTACTCGAGACTAGAGATAATAATAATAACAAGTTTATTTTGCCAATATAAAATTTTCGGTACAACAAAAAGTAATAAAAAAAGTAATATAGTACAAAATAAGAATAAATTATATTGACTCACTTCTAAAAAGCTAACAGCTTGTGCTAAGAAGTGAGAGTTTCTTATAACATTATAATATGTAAACGAAATGACTTAAAATTTAATAAACAACATAAAGTCTTATTAAAAAGAGAAGAAGAAAAAAAAAAGTAAAGGAAAAATTTATAAATCATAATTAAGTGTAACATAATCAAACTGGTTAAGCTTAATATATAATCTTTTAAAGAGTTAATATTATTGAAGTTAAAAAGATTGAAATTTAATTTATGACACAACAATGTACATTTGTAAATAGGACTTTGAGAGGTCTTATAGCATTTAATAGAATTAAGATTAGAATGACATTTATTTCTAGTATTATAATTATGCTCTATGGTATTCAAACAATGTCTATATTTAATAGTTTAATATTAATAGTTTAATAACTTCTATTAAACTATTAATAGTTGTATTTAAAGGAGTCAAATAATGTTTATAGGTACCACCCCAAAAGGGCAATCCATAGTAAACTAAAGATTGAACTAATGACATATAAATAATTCTCAAGTGTTTAATACCTAAAATATATTTTCAGCTTTTAAAGTTATAAAATAATGTCCTGATAGTATTAGCCAATTTATCCACATGATAATTCCATTTTAATTTTTCATCAAATATTAACCCTAAATATTTATTATGATTTACTCTTTGAATACGTTGACAATTACAGGACACAATTTTATTTTTACAGTTTAAGGAATGTGGACAAATGAAAAGATTATGTAAGGTAGTTGAATTTGATCTAAGATTAAATAGTATATAATTAGACTTTTTTAGGTTTAACTCTAAAAAATTATTATCATACCAACTCTGAACACTATCTAATGAAATATTAACCTCATCAAATAGAACATCAAATAGAGATGTGCGATTATTCAAATTTTGAATAATTTATCAACGAATTTAATAGATTTTTAAATAAAAACGAATATTTTTTCAACAAATTAATTATTTTAATCAGCGAATAATTTGAGTTATTTATTTTATTAAATTAAATTTAAAAAATATTTATTTAAAAAAATAGAATAATAAAAATAATGAATTTTTTTGGAGTTTTTCCCGGTACATAAATTCTATACAAGTTTGTGTGTTTTAGAACTTTGAATATCCAGCGTTTTATCAATCCTATATTTTGCAATGTGGTTTTATTGGATTAACAAAATAAGATTAGTATTTCGTATCAAAGTAGGATATACGTTCAGGTTTATGTAAAAGAAAATCAAAATTTTAACACAGGCTTATCTCAATTTGTCACAAATTTTGATGATCCAATTCTCCTTCCAAACTAATTACTTTCACATTAATTTTTCAAGTATAAATGGTAACATATATATATATATTTTATTAACTTTTTAAGTCAAGAATATTTTACTAAGCACCTTGACTGGTCAGTAACGAGTTTTGAACAACTATTTCTAAAGTTAAACAGTTTAAAAGCTAGGACGGGAGAGGATAAAAATAATACTACACTACACCTTTCATCAACTTCAATAACTTCAACGAAATAGTCATCCAAATACTAGTTGTCGACCAGTCAAAATGTTTAGTAAATTATTCTCAACTTAAAATGCTAATAAAATGTGAGCGTTACCATTTGAAGTTTCAAAAGTTGATGTAAAAATTAATAGTTTGGAAACGGGTAGGTCGCATGAACATCAAACAATATGAACAATTGAAATGACATTATGGAAAAAAAAATAATCAATTATCAATTAAACCCAATGAGATATTGAGCGGTTAGCGATAAAATGATCACCCTGTAGGTTTTACAAATATTTGCCGCTTTTGGTAGAATGTTTTTTAGGGTGATTACTCTACGACCTTAACCATGATGTATTACAATAAATATACATAATAAGTTAAAAATTAAATTTATATCTTTCAAAGTCAACAATAATTGAATTGATAAATAGGTACTTAACACCAAATAATGACCGCCAATTATTAATATTACCACATCAAGTATTATCATAACTTGTGCGGTTCCTGTGTAATCCAATAATTAACAAACAAATTTATGTAATAATAACTGCTATCTTTTAGATAATGCAGCAACTGACATTGGGATTTCATAAGAAACGTGAATACTAAATCTTTACATTTTATATTATAATAGGATCAAATACTTTTTAATCTTAATCTTTAAAAAAATATCATCTTATTTCCATACGGTTTAATTGGGATAAAAATAAATGACGAAAAACATATTAGCACAGTTATCGTTGACAGTTAATTTTTTTAGTACTACCATTCTTATTCTCCGTTTAAGTTAAGCTGTAATAAAATTCGTTTAAATTTGTTACTGTACGGTTTTACACTGAATTAAAGATGGGTTTTCCAATAGGATATTTAATTTTTAAAAACCACAAAATATCGCATGTTTCTACACACATAATGTATTTTCAATTATAACTGACCTTGTTGCAAAGATTTGTGTACACATTTTAGCTACAGTTTGAGTTTTTAAATAATTTGATAATTTATTCTAATAATCCAAAATCCGTTTTTATGTAATTGTTAAAACAATCATAGATTCGACTTGGTTATGCGGAAACGCAGCGCGCAATTAGCGTCTCCAAAAAAGAGTGTTTTTTTTTAAAAATAAAAAACAATTCAAATGATAATTAAAGCATACATTTCAATCTAATTGTGATTTTATTTAAATTAAATTATAGTTCAGAACATTTTTGTATTTAAACTTAATAATTGCCAACAGAATGTTCCAAAAAAATATAGGAGTTCCTATTTAAATTTTAAAAGTTGATAACACGCATGCGCAATAAACGTGTATTTATTAAATACATTTTGTTCTTAGATTAAAAAAAAAAAATATTAACTTTTCTTTGTTTCATCGCCGTGTATCAATTTGTTCTAAAGGTCTTTTTTAAACATTTCTTTTTTTTTGCAAATTCCAGAACATACCCCTGGGCAAAATTTTGAGCAGAAAAAAAAATTACACGGCCCAAGACGAACCCGGCCCGGAAAAGCTCAAGCGAGTGTTGAATTTGTTCGACTTAACCCTGTTGGCCTCTGGCGGCACTCTGGGGGCTGGAGTTTATATACTGGCCGGAGTCGTTGGAAAAACCCACGCTGGCCCCGCGGTAGTGTTGTCTTTTGTGTTGGCAGCCGCGGTGTCGTCGTTTGCAGGTTTGTATGTTAAAGAACAAAGTTTATCGGAAAAAAAAAAAATAACTTATTGAAAAATTATTATTTTGGAACTTCTCAACTTGAGGGTAAGCGCCAACGGTTGTAACAACTTCTTTTTATAAATAAATTACTCGGATGGTATACAATAGCTGCGCCCACTGATCTACGTACGTGGAACGCGAACAGTGAAAACAAATTGATCCCACGCGGATTCCGCCATCTTGAATATTATTGTCATGGAAAAAACGGTGCAACATAGTTTTTTCCATGATAAAATCGCAACAGTTATTGTTTTTTTGTTTCACTATCTTTTTGGTTAGAAAAAAAAAGTAAACAATATGAAGTCGGAAACCATCATGGAAAACCACTAAACAAAGTTACATACGGTTTGTGTGTGTGTGTGTGATAGCAAAACGAAATCAAAATGGCGGCCTCCGGGGTGGCCTACTTTTGTTATACGGAAAATATGCATCATACGCCTTCCATGCACATACAGTTAAATGCGGCGCTGCGTACGAATATAATTGAAATGCAATAACAATAATTGTTTTTCTCATGTTTGCAACTCAGGTCTTTGCTATGCCGAATTCGCCAGCCGTGTGCCCAAATCAGGATCAGCTTACATATACACTTATGTAGCTGTCGGCGAATTCCCCGCGTTCATCATCGGCTGGAATTTGATCCTCGAACACGTTATAGGTAGGTTGCACGATTGGTTGTACATTATTTTTCAAATATTTAAGCGTTATCTATCTAAATTTTCTCCCCGGCTTTCTCTCCCCCCCCCCACAAAAAAAAAGTCCTTTGAATGCACAACGATGTTGTTTTTTTTTATTTGTTCAGGAGTCGCATCTATCGGCAAGGCTACAAGCAATTACTTTGATTTCTTGTTGGGATACCCTCAGAAGAATTTCATGGTCGAACACTTTCCGATACATATAAGTTTTTTAGGAGAATATCCCGATGTCGCGTCGTTGGTATTCATTTTACTGGTGACGGGTAATTGATTATTATGATAAACACTCGCAAGACAGTATAGTACTGCCAAGTTTAGTTACGCCTAGATAGTTTACATTATTACTCCATTGAAGATGTCGTACAAACAGTATAATTTATTGTTATGCGGCTGAAATTACACCCAAGCAATCAAATTCTCTAAAGTCAAACGGTATTAATGAGATTTTGTAAAAATGGCTATTTAAATTTGAATTTTAAGACAACAATAGTAAACCTGTTTATTATCGTTTACTACTCACGAGGAGGGGTGATAAGAGAGTGATACGAGATAAGAACACAAATATATATATAATAAATCAAATTGCTAACTAGTGATAAGAATTGAAGTCGACATCAGCCATTTTTGTGGGATTTATAAAATAAACGATATCAATGATTCTATGCTATCAACTAAATTTGTAATTTTTATAAACAGTGATAACAGTAATAAACATGTGATAAGGTTCTTATTCCCACAAAGATGGCGGAAAATGATAACTTCAGTTATCTCTATTGGCGGCATTTACACTGTTGTGATAAAAATAATGAGAGGTGATAAGGAGAAATATCTGAGACGGATTATGATCCTACTAATTTATTGGTCGAATGTTCACACAGTAATTGTGTATGCAGCAATTTCGATGACAGTGTTGAAATATTATAATATTTTTTACACATTTTTAGGTGTGGTGGCTTGGGGTGTTCGCGAGTCGACGGCCATCAACAATATTTTCACCACTTTAAATTTTCTGACTATTGTCTCGGTGGTCGTTACCGGATGGTTTTATGGTGCGTTCATTCGGAAAGTAAATTAAACCGATCGGAACTGAACTAAACATTTTTTTTTTTTTTTGCTGTTATTACAGTCGACATATATAATTGGAATATACCGAAATCGGCTATTCCCGCGGGAGTCAACGGCGGCGAAGGAGGGTTTCTTCCCTTCGGTTGGTCTGGAATGATCGCTGGAGCAGCCAAATGTTTATACGGCTTTATCGGTTTCGATACTATTACTACTATCGGTAAGGTGGCGGTGTTTGTTGTACCTAATAATATTAAAAATGACACGTTGACATATTATTTATGATATACAAAGGCATAATAATCATAATACAAAGGATGAATTAACACATTTTCTAAGATGATTTAGCCAGAGATGCTAGAGCTCTGATATTTCCTGCAAAGAGTTCGAAACGTCGGCTTAAGACTATCTGAAACTCATCCGCATGAATTTTTGACCTATTAACCAATTAACATGGATATGTTTTTGAGCTGGGGGTCGTTCTGAAATTCGTGTTACGATTTCGTGTAATGGACATACATATCGTCATCGGTGTAAAGATGGAGATAATTTAATAAATTTGGGTACCAGGGTTCCGGAACACACACGTGATTACTGCCGTTGCCGTGTGTGTGATACGATAATGTTGATTTTTTTGCAGGCGATGAAACGAAAAATCCTAAACGAACAATTCCGTTGGCAATAGTCATTTCCCTTGCGTGTATTACCACGGTTTACTGTGCCGTGGCCGTAGTCATGACGATGATGTGGCCGTACTACGATCAGGTATGACCTCGACGTCGAACTAAATATGATACGCTTTGATTGAAATTGAAAAAATATTATAATATAGATGTTTTTTACACCGTTCTGTTAGGACCCCTTCGCTCCGCTGCCGGCTATTTACGAACACTTGGGAGTACCGTATATCCAATACATGGTCACCGTGGGCGCCATATCCGCACTCGCAACAACGTAAATTAGTTTAACCAAAATTATAATAATAATAATAATATAGTGTTTATGTAGCTTATGAGAAAATTTAAATTGTTCGGACGTCTACTGCAGTTTAATAGGTGCCATTTTTCCTCTGCCCCGAATTTTGTACGCCATGGCCAGCGATGGACTTCTGTTCAAGGTGTTGTCCACAGTCAACAGCTACACCAAAACCCCACTCGTATCCACCATGTTGTGTGGAACTGTATCTGGTGAGCCAAAAAAAAAAAAATTATCATTCATTTATCGGGGAATTATCTATTCCACTCTTTATCACATCCCATTCCTTCGGCTTGTCACCCTTCACACTAATTGACATGCATTATGCTCGGGGTCAACGCAAAATTTGCGTGGACTTTTTTTGCGCCGCGAAATCGGTCACGTTTGATAAGGGATCAAACCTAATCTAACCTAACCAGCGCTAAGAGATTAGATTCAATTTAGATTTTGCGATTTGATCGAATTCAGGAGATGGGAAGATGCGTTAATTTTTTTCTCCCAGACTCCCAGCCGTAAGATATATTTATATCTAAGTTGAAATAATCAAAAGTGCACGCGTTAAAGTACCTAAGGGTGTAAGGGGTGCTATGGAATTTCAAATCCTTCTATACCTATTCATTAAGGCTCTTGATAATAATTTATCATCAACCAAAGTAACGTTTTAAATTTTACCAGAAATTCTGAAGCTTTCGGGGGCTTTTTTAATAGGTCTGAACTTCCCCAGCCCCATCATCTCCTCTATTTGTCCTGATGAGTGCATTCGAAATCATTGTAAACCGTATTGTGTACAGGACTCATGTCAAGCATATTCAATCTGGACCAACTCATCGCCATGGCGTCTATTGGAACATTTCAGGCGTACACGGTTGTCTGCATATGTGTACTCTTGTTAAGGTCAGCCATGTGTATTTTTCGAAAACCTCAAACATTGCCGACGAGCACGGCCATTAATGATGTTTTTATTTTATTTTACAATACTTCAACTTTTCCTAGGTATGAGACTGACAACAAAACCACGGAGGCCGTGGAAACGTCCAAGAAAAAAGAATGTTCTAAATGGTACACGGTGTTCAATGAAAAAATTCCGAACAGATACACTCAATCTCTGTCGGTATCTTTGACTTTCGTATACGGTGGGTGACTGACGGAACCGATGAACCTGACCTACCGGAATATTTTTCACCCACAAAAAACCAACATAATAATTCAATACCTATTTGTTTTATTACAGTTGGGGCAGCGACAGTGTTCTCGATTTGCCTGGTGAACTTGCAATATTGCGAAAGCGAAATTATTTGCTGCGCTCTAATCTTTTTGTGTGTGGTGTCTGCTGCGTTCATAATAGTTCCAATGGTTATGTTGTACAGGCTACCGCAAATGACGGACAACATACCGTTTAAGGTTAGTGCAATTTTTGACAATTTCACCATTATACAGGGTGTCTTAAAAATAATGGTGGGGTTTCAATCCGTTTGAAATCCCACCACTCTTAACCCTACCATTCTTCTTGAGACACCCTGTATTGTGTACGCTGTTTTAGGTACCATTTGTTCCGGTCATACCTTGTGTGAGCATTTTACTAAACATCTACATGATGATGGCATTAGATTATATAACTTGGATACGGTTCTTGGTGTGGATTGTTTTAGGTACGTCAAGTACATATTATTTTATTAACAGATGTTTATTTTGACCCCCCCCCCCCAAAAAAAAAAACGATAATAATGACGTTTAAATGTCACTCAGGGTTGGTGATATACTTTTTCTACGGCATCAACAATAGCTTGGAGGCCAAAAGAAGAAAACCACACACCGACCAACAGCTGCAAACATCGTTAAATTAGTTTATCAATTAAGCCAAAATTATGTACTACGATATGATAAATAATTTAGCGCATATTAAAAGTATATTTTGTTATTAATTGATATATTATTGTTATTATTTTAATTGTTCGTCGGTTAAAATATAATCGAAAGCCGATAAAGTGGTTGAAAAGCTTAGTTTCGTTAATGAAATAATATAATTATTTAGTGTCTGCAAATAATTCTTATCTAATTTTAATTGACCCTAAATTGTATTAAGAAATTATCAAGCTATTAAGACACTCGGGCTATATTTTAAGATCAGTCATAACGAAGTTCAATTAATGTAAAAAATTGTTCGTAGGCAATAATTACAATTTTTTTTTTAATTGACCACTTTTAAAAGATCGGTGACATACGGTTCGGTTTGATTTTAACTCATGTACCTACCTAAAGAACATACAATTTTAAAGCTGGATCAAAGTGCTGACCGAACCAGATGTGCTAAATTATTTGCAATACACCTGCTGTTTATTAAGGAGTTCGGTATAGGCAATATTTTGAAAAATCTTGATAAAAAGGATAATTACTTTAATGTGTATTACATGCCAATTGTGTACGGAAATTTAAAAAAACTCCATCAGAATATGTTTAGTAAAAGTTATAGACCACACTTGGGGCTGTGCCTGATTAGTGGCTGTCAATTGTTTTAAGCCTGAACAATTTTAGAATAATTTGAACTTCCCCAGCACTCCCACTCCCCTCTAGATACGCCAACGATGCTAATGATTCGAACAGCAATAAGGATTCCATTTTAATAGTTGGTTTATTTTTCTGGCTCATAGCGCCCTGGACTGCGATTTCAAATATTAAATGTATAATAAAATAACGTAGTAAAATTTCATAGGTCCCATGGTTTTTTTAGTGTATACCTTGTCTTAACGTTGCCTAAAAAATTAGAAAAGCCAGTACAATCGGGACGGGCATAGTAAAGACACAGTGGCGGGGGGTGGGGTGGAGTGTGGATCACAAGTCCATGGGAAGGTTAGGTTACTAGTTGAAAAATTTATCGATTTTAAAATGCATGGTCTCCATAATTTTTAGTGTATACAAGTGTTGCACAGTTTAACGTTTTAAAATATAACCGCCTAAGTTAAAAACATTTTGAAAAAAAAACGGCGGCGCCTACTTGCAAATAATAAATGCACACCCATGAACTATGTACAAATATTTAAAAAAAAAATGCTAGAAGAAACAGCAATTATTAAAACCGAGAATTTCCTACAAAAAAAAACATTCAATAGTTTTAACATTTTACAAATCTCAATTACGTTTTTAAACCATTAATTTCTTTGGTTGAACTATTGTTTTATAAGGAAAAATGGTTTCAAAATGGTTTTCTTAAATATATGTGAAAAATAATGAAAGAAAAGAGAAAATGTCGTTTCTCGGTTTTGGGGGTAAAGTAATCGATTATGACCATCCGAGTATGAACAAATAAAGAAGAAGGTACTTTATTGGGCAAAAATGCAATAACTTCACCACTAATAAAATGTAGAAAAAAGTTTTCCACAAGTTACTCTATTTTAATTACTTTATATGTATTTAAACTAGAAATGTTGAATTGTCTTTGATAACCAAAATTAGCCTTAATGCCCAAAGTTGGCCCGTGTGACGTTACTGAGATTCGCATAAAATTAACATACCGTAGGAAAGGCGACATACTATTTTTTTCTTTCGATTGTCAGTTTTTATACTATTTTAAAATTTTCAGCAGGTTTAATTAAAATTTTTAAAAAAATCTTGAGCAATTTTGGCAATTATTACTTATCTCAAATATAAATAAAAATGAATCTCTTCGATATAGATATTCTAGATATTTAAATTGTGCACATAGAGTAGTTGGTGAGAACAATTTTCTATATAACCTTGAGAAAGTACAGCCGCACACATTGCATATGTCAAGCTACGTTCGCGGATACATAATTACCTCAAAATATGTCAAATTAGTTAACCGGGAGTAACTACTTTTTAAACACCAAGTACAATTTCAATTGAGTTATGGCTAAGGGTATTTAATTGTAAATAAAAAAATTGTATTCAAATAATCAGAAAAAATAAGAGTATTTTAACAAAATTTAACGTACAGCGAAAATGTATTTAAAATTCATAGTTGAACGTATGATGTGTACAATATTTGACACCATATTTTAGCAAGCAATCAAATATTATATTAGTTATTTAAAAATATTTTTAACAGTTGTTTAACATTATACAGCAATATAGTACATAATTGAGAAAAGGGTTTATAAGTAAATATATGTCTTAAACATTCTTTATGGAATTAAAACATAAAAGGTTGATTTTTTATTAATATTCTGCGTATTTAAGTTATATAATCTCACCGGATTTGAATTCAACACGCAAAAGAATTTTCTCGAACTTTTTCTTCAAATACCTCGAATGATTGCAAAATATCAAAATTTATATTGGCCAATTTTTTTTTTAAATATTCCACAAAAACTTCCACACACAGAATACTTTCTCGTAACGAAGATAGTATTTCAATATTATAACCAATAGCATTGGCAATATCCACTAATCTAGATGTTTGACAGTTGACGGTTTTTAAGGATTCAGATGCGAAGTTCCCAAAATATAATCCCGACTTTTTTTTCTCAAATGTTTTCAGCAGACGTGAAATCTTTTTCATTTTGCCGTCTATATTCGATGAAAAACTAGGGAAAATACCGTCAAGGAGTTCTCTCAACTCATTTTTTATATTTAAATTAATGAGTTTCGTGAATTCATCATCCTTGTTTAATTTAAGCAGGCCAGCAAAATCGTTCAAATGTTGTTTGTACAATAATGAATGTATTTGTTCCACCGTCGGAGAGTATTTCATCGTTTTCAAATTCTCTAAAAATGCCCACCATATACGTAGCATTATAGTTTTTACAATCCGCAAAAAATAATAATGGACATCCTTGAGTGAACGGATCCAAACGGAGAGAGATGACGTAGGATTCTTAGCTGCTTTCATTGAGTGATTCAGTTTGCCAACAAGGATCGGTCCGCCGACTAAGCCTCCAAAACTCGTAATTAAAGTTTTCATTAGTACAGTATCTTCTGCCACGTTATTAATATATAAGCTAGAAACAAGGTCAAGATTGAAGTGGGGTTTGCTTTTAGACATCACGCGGAGATGTGTACAAGCCTCTGTAAGTTTTTCTAATGCTGAATTTCGGTCTAATCTTTTCATTTCGTCCTCGTATGAATGATACTTGTAATTTTTAGGCCACAAATATTTACATGCTTTCATTTCATTATTTAAATGCGTTGTCGTGTGAAAGTGAAGTTTATACATTTCTTTATTTTCGTCACGCTTTAAGAACATATTCATTTTTTTCGTGTAAAGATAGAACATCCACAAAGTATACGGAAATCTCCTTAACGGGAAACCACTATTGATTCTTGCGTTCAGCATATGTTGAGCCCAATTTGAGCACGGATGGTCAACATCCTTATACAATTTCACATTTGTGTATTTATCTAGAGTCATTAGTTTCAAAAAAACTAATATATCATACGTATAGTTACAATCAAGTTCATATGAAGTTTTATGTAAAATTTCAAAAGCTATTTCATATTTAATGCCTACTTCATCACATGTGCCCGATTCCGTCATACAATTTTGGGGGCTGGCAAAAATTCCTCTGTTGAGCGCTCGAAGATAATTATATTCATCCATTAATTTCAGTTTAATTAATTCCATCTCGTTATCTATGGGCACTGCACTCGTTGATCCAGAATTAAATTCATCTTGTAACTTTAGTTTGGCTAAGTCCATTTCGTAGTCTGTGGGTACTGCACTAGATGATCTAGATTGAAATCCATCTAGTAATCTTTGTTCATCTGAGTCATTTTCGTCGTCTGTGAATATTGCACTCGATATTCTAAAGATTACCAGAATCGTGACCATCCAAAGAAAAGTATTATAGTGTGCCATTTTCGAACATATAAATCGTACTGACTAACGTTATTTGTATTTTACGGCGCTTGTTTTTATGTAGGAGACTAAATATCGGTACAATAATTTTCAATTGTATATTTCTTAAATAAACTCAACAGTATTTATCAGGCTGTATTATTGTATAGCTTACACTGAAAATGAAAAATATCTAGTTTTTATATGCTCAACGAACAGAAAACTTAGGTTTCGAATTTTTTTTTAATTTGTACTAAAACATTTTTTGTTCAAAAAAGTTCTATTTTAACGATATTACTCTTATTAGTAGTTGAAAAGGTTCGGTATTAAAACGATATAATAAAATTGTTTTCTTTATACCTTGGTGACTGGAGAATAGTTAATCGGTAATGTTCTTAAAGGTTGATTTCCATTTCTGTTGTTGCTAAAATTTTTAGAATTTCCCCAATATTTTTCGCAGATCGGTGGGATAATTTTACTTAAAATGTGTAATTTTTAAATTGAGTTCAAGTTAAACTTCGTAGAAATGTTAAAGTATAATTATCTTTTTAAATAAAGTATGTCTTTCTGAAAATTTAGAGCAATTTCTAACATATAATATTTTATTCCTTTCACAATTTTTGTGGTAAATAGTGAATTTCTTATAAACGCAGTGGAAAATTACGTACGTAAATTATACTTTTGAAGACGGTCTTTTTTTTTTTTGCAACAGCTGCGATGGCTGACTACTCTGGGAATTGAAAAACAATAATTTCAATAAAATTTACAGCACAGTAAAATTGTATTTAAAATTTACAATTGTATGTGTAATATGTTAGTACAATATTTGAAACCATATTTTAGAAATAAAATATCATGTTAGTTATTTATTATACAGCAATGTTAATAATTTGTAACTGAAGCATACATAACTGAAAAGGGAAATGTTTTAAGACATTAATTGTTTATAAATATTTATGTATATATAATCTCACATAATTTGAATTTGAAACACAAAAGCCTTTTTCCGAACTTTTTCTTCAAATTTCTCAGATGATTGCAAAATATCAAAATTTACATCAGACAATTTGTTTTTTAAATATTTCACATAAACTTCCGCATAAAGAATATGCTTTCGTATCGAAGATCGTACAAC